CAAGCAGCAGCCAGCAGGAACAAGAATCTTCTCTTGCAACACCCCAAGAAAAGAAAACGACTACTAAGTCAAAAGCTGTCGGCTTTCCCACAATCACCATGAAGAACTCCGGTAAAATGAGTGCTCATAACAGACCATATACTCACATAGGGTTTATGTATCCGTAATTAGCTCAGTGAACATGCACGCACACACACACACACACACACACACACACACACACACACACACACACACACACACACACCCGATCACAGCGAGCTACGACGACTACTTTGGATCGGATGTGGACGAGGAAGCGGTGGCGTACCTCATGCTGGCCAACCAGCTCATCCACGACGTGCTTCCCTCAGCCATCACCGTCGCAGAGGACGTCTCTGGCTACCCAGGTCTGTTGCTCCCCCACATGTGTGTGTGTGTGCTTTCACGCATGGAGTTGCTGTCGGCCTCTATTCCCTCGCCGCTGTCTCACGTGCCATCATTGCATGTGCTGCGCGCCGCTTCTTCGCTGCTTACCGTTCGCCTGTGCTGGACCTGATTTCTGCAGCCATTTGCCGGCCGGTTGCCGAGGGCGGCATTGGGTTCGACTACAAGCTGGCAATGGCGGTGCCCGACATGTGGATCAAGCTCCTCAAGGTCTCGTCTTGTTCGCTGTTGCCAATGAGGAAGAAGAAAGGGAAAGGAAACGGTTGAACGGGTGGGAGGAAGATGTTGCGCTGGCGGCAGGATTGGCAGTGACACTGGGAGCAAGACTGGACATGACCGTGATGTGATGTTCATGCTTGAAAGGTTTAGGGTTGTGGTGGGGTTTGGGTTCGTGTGTGCACGTGCGGCGCGTGTGGCTGGGCGATGGATGTGTTTGCGCAACCCTGGTCTTTTCTTGTTGTTCTCATGTATGGCACATGCATGCGGACGGCTTTCAACACAATCAGGAGCAAGCGGACGAGGAGTGGGGTATGGGTCACATTGTCCACTCGTTGGAGAACAGGCGTTACAAAGAAAAATCCATCGCCTACGCTGAAAGCCACGACCAGGTGAGCGTTTGCGTCCAAATACCCCCACCTTTCTTGGGTGTTCTTCAGTGCTTGCATGGACAAGGTGCGCCGGGGTGGTGCTCAGGTGGCACCTTATTACGGCGCCGAAACACGCCCACACAGACAGGCGCACGCCCTCACAGACAGGCGCACGCCCTCACAGACAGGCGCACGCCCACTATCCTCCATCGTCATACTTACGAACAACAACAACAACAACAACAACAACAACAACAACAACAACAACAACAACAACAACAACAACAACAACAACAACAACAACAACACCCGCACATTTCACATGCGCAGGCGCTGGTTGGCGACAAGACCATTGCCTTCTGGCTGATGGATAAAGAGGTAAGCGGGCTTGCAAGTTTGTTCAGACGTACTCCTCTTTGCTTGCTTTCTCTGCGCTGACGACAACAGTGGTCGTCAACGTGACCCACGTCTGGTCATGCCCTGTGCGTCGTGTCGACACTCAAACGCCATGGCTCGTGCGCCAACAGATGTACACGCACATGTCTGTGCTCAGCGAACAAAGCGCCATTGTTGACCGCGGCGTTGCCCTTCACAAAATGATTCGGGTGGGTCCACAGTTACGTACATGGGTGTGTTGTGTGTGTTGTGTGTGTGTGTGTGCGTGCGTGTATGTGTATGGTGTGTGTGCGTGTGTGTGCGTGTGTGTGCGTGTTGTGCTTTGTGTGTGTGTGTGTGCGTGTTGTGCTTTGTGTGCGTGTGTGTGCGTGTGCGTGTGTGTATGCGTGGTTGTGTGTGTGCGTGTGTGTGCGTGTGCGTGTACGCGTCGCTCTCTGCACGTGTTTTTTGTTTTGTATCGCTCTCTGCACGTGTTTGCTTTGTGTCTGTGCTCTTGGCTTCTGGACTTTTTGAGTCGCTGCAAGTGCCAATCCGTTTGCATCATCGCATGCGCGGACACGCAGTTGCACCATCGCACGCATTTGCAACCAGAGTACTGCTGCTCAATTCTCATGCAGATTGCTGTGTGTCATTCCCGCATCCCTTGCGTGTGCTTCAGTTCATTACACACGCACTTGGAGGGGAGGGCTATCTGAACTTCATTGGTGCGCTGCACGTGTGTGTGTATGTGTGTTGTTGCCATGTGGTGGTGCCGTGTGGTGTGGTGCGGTTAATGTGTGTGCATGTTTTTTTCCCAATGGTTCATGGGAGCTCGCGTTCTCAGGTTGCAGGTGCCACTGCGGCCCAGATGTATGATTCCGTGTTGACGTTCTGCTGCCACACAACGCTTCTGTTGTTGGAACTTGGTTTGTGTGTACGCCCAGGCAACGAATTCGGGCATCCGGAATGGCTTGATTTTCCACGCGAGGGCAACAACGAGAGCTACCACCATGCTCGCCGACAGTGGCATCTCGGTAAGGACTGCAGACCCATCAAGCGCCCCTAACATGGACAAAGACTTACGCACACACACACACAATCACACACCTGCA